TTTTCTTAATTATTTGACTCTTTGAAATAATTTATAGAAAACAAAGTTTTAAAATTTTTAAGGAAATGTGTGGAAAAATAAGATTTTTTTACCTTAAAGACAGAAGGGCTTTCGCACACCGAAACAGTGACCAGTTGCGATCAAAGTCCGTATTTCTTTTTCACAGTACATAGAAATTAAAAACCACAAAAGTTAAAAAATATTATTCTTCTAAACTGTGATTTACTTAGAAATTTATTGACAGGTTTCATAATGATATCTGCGTTACAAATTTTGTTAAAGAAAATTATGTGAAAATTTTCAGTAAATATGATAATATGAAATTTTGGATTTGTAATTGGATTTGTTGAACACTTATATATCGTAACTACAAGTAACTACAGCGCCATCGCTAATTCACATACTCTGCAGTTCAATATAGCACGCACTAAGTCTTCTCAGTCGCTTTACCTTCATTGGTTGTAGCCCAGTAACGGGCACAATGCCGTGTGTACTTGCTTACCGGCTGGCGACTGCCTCACATCTATTTTTTTTATTGCTAGTGCGGTGGGACTAAGTCCCTTGTACTGCGGCCACTTCTGGCCTATTGTACCAGCCCCAGTTGATAGGTGAGGGTGATTGAGGAGTAATTGGTAGAATGAAGATTGGCAGGAGAAACCGAAGTACTCGGAGAAAACCTACCCCAGCACCACTTTGTCCACCACAAATCCCACTTGACCAGACCCGAAATCGAACTCGGGCCGTCGCGGTGGGAAGCCAGCGACTAGCCGCTTGAGCTATGGCGCGGCCATGTCTCACAACTAACTCCTACTCTTCTCACCGCCGTCTTAAGACTCTCTCGTAATCGTAGCTGCTCCTTGTTATACAGCCTCAGCGCGGAGAATATGGAAAATATCTCTCCCGAGAGTTCTGTTGTTCCGTTACGTAGCTATTGCACGGGCCGCATAGAGAACGCTGCTTCCCAGTTACTCCTTTGTTGCGTATTATGAATCTTTTGCCTAGTAACGGGCCCGTTTGCAGAGCTGTTCCCTAGCAACGGCTCTCTGTGTTGGCTTAATATTTCTTGCCTTGAGCAAATGTGTCATAATATCTTGCAAATGTAGCGAAATCATGATTTCATAGTGTCCTTCAGAGGCAAAGTGTACAGTGAATTAAGTACAGCGTCATTAAATATAGTGCAGAGAAAACAAACAATTTTCCGTTGAAATTTCAAGGGGGATTCTTGTAATATTTCGTATTTCAACATAGTACTTAGCCGCGGTTGACTGCAAGTAAGGGGTCAATTATCAGTGCTCACCACCCATCGCATTTTGTCAAGTGACTCATTTATACTACTCTATGTAGAAGTTATAAAAGAACTGGCAGTAGCAGTTTCATATAGAAATATTTTATTGTTTCATTAGAGGACTATCTCGAACTATACAAGTGGATATCTTTCTTTTGATATTACCGATAAACGTATTGTGAAATATAGACTCATTGTGAAGTAACAGCTGTCTGAACAGACGACAGTACAACAGCCTCTGCTAGGGAACAGCTCTGTGGACACGTTTCCAAGGCAACAACGCGCAATAATGGAACAGGCGTTTTCTGTGCGATCCGTGACGGGACTATGTAACAAGTTGAGTCTGTTGAGAGTGTCATAACATGCTATACGGCCAAGCATATTCATAAGAGACAAGCCCATTTTCTCGCCAGAAAGGATGATATTACCGCAAGTGTTTGGTTGAAATAAAGTATCTGGCCGTGAGTGTCAAGGGGCTTGTAGCGAAGACAAACTGATTGGCGGTAAATCGCCAGTCGTAAATTAACTCTGACTGAGAGTTGCAGTTGTTAGAAGTGAGAAGGTTGTAGCTGTGGCCGGGAAAAAATCGGGAACACAGAGGAAGGGTGACGTCGGCCCCTGAAAACCGCTACCAAGCAACGGCTAGTGAAGAATGAGAATACTTTTTGTGTGCTGTAGTTGCAGTGATCTCTGGTGTGTGTAACTCAATAAGAGTTATTTGTAGTTACGTTCCGTAAGCGTTCAATTCATACCGTTACCAATCCGAACCGCGTCTCTGTTCTCACTCAGTCACGTGACAATATGTTAAATGATTGCTATTTTCCTCATAAAACTTTTGGTTGGTTACTTTGCGACGTTATCAGTATTTAAGTTATAGAATGCCGATAGGGAAATTACTGGTAAATAATTAACTGTAGAGGATTTGTAAAGGGGCGGTAATTACCTAATTTAGATACTGTCCGTAAATTTGCCTGGAGAGTCTGAAGAAAACTAAAGACCCCTGTAAAGATAGCCGGTGTCGTAGATGAGATTCGAACTTTGAATCTACCGAACTTAGTCGGAGATTTTTACCGCTTTAACCAAATTGCTCGATCCGCCAAGATGTGTTGCTCTCGTTTACAAAGGACGACAACATCCGCTCGTTAGGCTTACAATCCAAAGTTAAGGCTTTTCCCACTAGAAGGCTCTTTAAGAATTTGATGTCTGATTATAACAGAGTTTGTAGTGCGTTGATAAGAAATCACCTAGGAAGATACATTAACGAAGCTAATATTTGTAAGCCTGTTCGCCCAAGCACAGGGAAGAGCAGCAACTGTCAGCACGGGACGTAATTGTTCCAGAGCATGCGCTATGTGTGCGAGGAACAAACATGGTGTCCCTGAAGCTGCGACGGTCGGTAAAGAAGCAGTTCTTTAATGTCGGCATTTCTGCAACACCTGACAGCAGTAATGGCCTGTCACTTAGTGGGGCTATTGCAGTCATGCAGTCAGACGTTCCTAAGATGGAGAGGTGCTATTGTACCACGAAGTCTGTGTAGAGATTCGTTTTATGGGGTTCATACACTATAAACAAAACGAGACAGAAACATGATGAAATTTCAAATAGATGAGATTAATACAGTTGACACTGGATGACAGCACTAGCTAAGTAGGTAAGAAAGAATTCTGCAAATAATTCTTAATACGGAAATACGGAATGACGGAAATCAGAGATTTTTTCGGACTATTGTTTAACATGTCACAGGTGTCATACCCTACAAGACGCTGGTATGATGTTGCGGAGAAATTACAATACTTGAAAAGCTGGAGGCGTTTATGAGACGGAAATGCACTAAAATTCCTGTAGTCTTCGAACAGGTCAAGATTCAATCCTTGAATCGGCAAAAAAAAAAAAAAAAAAGAAAAAGAAGAAGGAAAGAAAGAAAGAAAGAAAGAAAGAAAGAAAGAGAAAAGAAAGATATTCTTTGCTCCATCCTCACTATACTTGTGTTACTGAGGAACTTTTCAAATCTAGTAGCCTAACATAAACTCGCTACTTCTGCAGACCGACATTTTGTTTTCCGGAAGTTATATTCTCCTCCGTCACAATGCTTAACGTCTAGTGTTACAGTACATCGTTATTCTTACTATTTATGGTTTATTTGACGACGACGCTTAAAGCTTAGATTATATTGTCACGTGTAGGAGTGTGTCAATATTAGACGGGGTTTGCATTGGATATTGATTTATTGGCCATTTTATACATTCAACTCATAACTGCAAGTGATACAGCGCTATCGGTGATCTACACACTTTACAGCTTACAGTTACACACACACTATGGTTCTCAGTCTTAATTAGTCGTATCCTGGCAACGTATTTATAAAGGTCTAACTGTAGCTACAGCACATATAAATTTTCAACTGAGGTCGATGCCATCTCTTCTGAATCAGCTTCGACTGCAGTCTTCAGAGACTCCTTCAATTCTGTCTCTGTCGACCTTGGAGCCTCTTTATATAATCTCGGGGCAGTTTTAAAGTACCGTCCCGCAATTTACCTGGAGGGGCTGAGGAATAGCTCATAAACTCGCTCAAGTTAGTGGGCTCATGGCCGAGATTCGAATCAGTCATCTTCCCAATAGAAGCCAGACGTCTGAGCTAACTTGCTCAATAACACTGTTCTCTCTGAAGATGACAATTTCTGTTATATTTTCCGGCACAATTAACAAAATGTCAGTTTAAGTTATTTCCATAGGGAAGCAAATTTTGAGACGTGCTGGGCATGTAATATACGTCGTACATGGGAGACATCAGTAATGTGTACAGAATTTTAGTTTGGAACACTTAAAGAGCTGAGATTTTGGAAGGTCTAGATTGCGAGATAAGAAGAGAATGCATATTAAAGAACTAGGCTGACAGAGCATGAACTGGATTCATTCTACGTCTGGTTCTGGAAAGAGTCTAGAGGACACCTGTAGTGAACACTGTAGGCAGTCTTTCAGTACTGTATAATGTGCGGAATTTCTGTAGTACACAAGTGACTATCAACTTCTAAAAGAATTGCTCAGCTCCATGGTGTTAGTAAGTTAGTTAATTAGTAAATTGTGTAAAAGGATAAAACAGATAATGAGTTTGTGTTTAAATTACACGAAGATATTCTTAATCGAAGAGTATATAAGCAGGAATTTGCTATTTATAAAGTACTGTACAAATATCTGAAGGTTAATCAAATATCCTAAATAACTAAAGAAAGCAGTCTTCTGGGCTGTGGCACCGTGTAGATATGGTGTTAACCGACGTTTCGGAGGAACGTATAGCCTCCATCTTCAGGGTAGAAGGGAAAATGAGAAAATCCGCAAGCGAAGACACCGTGAGAACCGATCCGAGCAGATTGGTCTCTTCGCTTGCGGATTTTCTCATTTTTCCTTCTATACTGAAGATGGAGGCGATACGTTCCTCCGAAACATCGGTTAACACCACATCTACACGGTGTCACAACCCAAAAGACTGCTTTCTTCATAGTCGCCCCCGTGAAAACCTAAAATCTTACATCTATAAATTGTTCCTGTTATGCTGTGTGTTTATATTTTTGAGGCCGAAATTATATTTCTGCACCACAAATTTCATAAATTGCTCTTGACTCAGACCATCATCATACTGTATGCCTTAAAATAATTATATGGAATTGCATATTTTCTTTATATAAGTTCATGCTAATATTATATTTCTTTTTTGCAGGTGCCTCATTATGTTCGTGAGAACAACATCTCAGTTAAGGTAAGAATGAATTAAATTTGACATTTAAATTTCTAAAATTATTACTTTCAATTCATCATCATCATCAGTAATCTGTCAAGACGACAGGTCCACAGTCTCTTCCAAAATAATTCCTCCGTTTAATGCGATCTAGAGCTTTCTCCTTCAAATGACAGTATCCTCTTCTGTCCCCAAGGTCATCCAGCATCTTCTTACGTCTTCTTCCTCATCTTCTTGTCACTTCTATCCGCCCATCTATCTTTCCTTCGATGGCTTCTTTTAGAAGGCAGTTTCTGCGTAAAACATGACCAATCCAATTAGCCTTCCGTTTTCTTATTTCATGTAGGATATTCCTCTGCTCACTGACTCTAATTAACACTTCTTCATTTCTCACATAATCGGTCCAACTGATCTTCTCCATTCTTCTCCAACACCACATTTCGAAACTTTCCAGATGTTTCTGATCTACTGNTCTGCAGTTGTTTTTGGTCTATCTTTATTGTGACTCGGGTTGGTTGTCTCGAAATTTTCATTACTTTTGTTTTTTCCACATTAATTTCCATGCCATAACACCTTCCAATTTCAATTAGTCTACCAATCATGCCCTGTAGCACAGTTTCTTCCTTAGCCATTAACACAAGGTCATCTGCATATTTCACAGACTTTCAATTATCCACAAATAATAGATCAGGGTTACAAAAAAATATTATTTCAATTAATTTAACTTTATCTAAAATGCTTTATTTTAGTAAGTTTCGTGTGATTAATGCCATTTACATATTTAGTGATATATAAATAATTACTGAAGAAAGTTAATTTCCCATCGACGCTTCGAATTTCAGGGGAGAGTAGAGGAGACATAGTAGAAGATTAGGCGAAGAAGAAATATCGTAAGAGGAATGAGGGACATTTTACTATTAAAGAAGAAAGAATACCTTTTTTAGAAATTTCTGATTAATCGGTGCACAAATTGCACATTCTTCTGAAGTATAAATAAGTAGTTCGCATAGTTAGTATTGTATGTTGAAAAGTTAAGAAAATAACCACTGAAATATGGAACACTTTCACCAATTAATTGTATTTATAATCTTGTGTCTCTCTGTTCCTCCTCGAACTTAATTAGATTTCATTACGTATGGCATTTGTGTCTGAAAATATCTTCATTCTATAAACTCGAAACAAAAACAGTACACGTAACTTAAGATTTTTATTTGAGTGTAGATAATTCATTTGTATATTTATTCTTGTCCTCAAGGAAGATTTTAATGCTTCAGGTAGGATTGTTATTAAGTCATAAATACGAAAATTTGTAGAAGGAAAAATTTGCGGCCTAATATGTTGTAATATTTGACACGTTCCTGGAAGAAGTAAGGAAAACCATGAAAAATCTCAAGAACTACAACGGACTGATAGTTCCGGTTAAGCAAATTAAATTTTTTTTTCTCACATCTATCACTTTGAAATTTATTGCAGTGTGAGACATGATGATCTTTGAATGTACACGACGATTCTAAATTACTGTTGTGGTTTCCGTGGCCTTTATTTTTCAAACCCGAAAGAAAGAAAGAAACTGCTTATGGAAAACGAAACTGTGACTCAAGAAGTTTTATCATTTATAGAATCAATACTGCAGAATACAAATATTTCCTTTAATTGCACGTAAATTGTTTTATTTAATTGTTTCCGGTTTGAAAATTACAGGTCACAGAAACCCCGACAGTTATGTAGAATCACTCTGTGTAATAGACTACATAGTTTTACATTCCCATAAGAAAGCAATCTTCATAATCCTTTTTAAGACATGTGTACACTACTGGTTTTAATTCTAAATACATTTTCAAATTTCCCTAATTTACAAACTACGGTTCGAAAAGAGGAAATGATTTCAAGATATGGGTTGAAAAGAACTTGAGCGTCTTGCGTAATCTATTTGTGACAGTTATTAACGACGCTGGTAGTAGCTAGGATTAAAAATTCATTAATTATAGTGGAGCAGTTGGTGAAATAAAAATTGGCAGGGGAAACCTTCTCTACAGTAAATCAAGCATGACGTAACCTGAGATAGAATCCGGACCCCCCGAGAAGGAAATCCGGAAAGTAATTGACTGAACTGTGGCATCGAGAAATTGTCGTGGTCTATTTTAATGTATTATCACAGAATTTTTTCTCTTGATGGCTGAAAGTTGTCGCAAGAAACCTGTCTTATGATATGTGGGATCAGAATTAGAGCCCTGATCTGAACGCTAATAATGATTGCCTGTCCGATGAAAAAACAAATTCAGCATGAAAATTCACTTACCAAATTATAATGGACTTGTGGTGCTCTTATTTACCCGTCGTTCATTTATTTATTCTAGCAGACATCTCGCTTTGATGCATTTCTTGGGTCAGTGAGGACCATTATGAATTATTCACGTTTGGCAGGGAAAGGGGTACTCTGTGGGAATCTCTGATAGCAAACGTGGCATATTCTGAAGAATGCCGTCTTTTGGGATGTGGCGCCGTGTAGGTATTGTGCAAGCTGACGTTTCCGAGGACTGTATCGCCTACATCTTCAGGGTAGAAAAAAAATCCGCGAGCGAGGAATCAGAGTGAGCAGGTGGCTGCAGGCTGCTCGCGGATTTCTTCTACCCTGAAGATGGAGGCGATACATTCCTCCGAAACGTCAATTTACACAATATCTATAAGACGTCACATCCCAGAAGACAGCGTTCTTCATAGTTGCCAACGTGAAAACTTCAAATCTTACATAGCGGCAGATTCTCATCAGTGAAAATCTTTATCATTTCATGTATCAAAGTGAAATTCCTCTTGTATTCGAAAAAATAGATGTATTCTCTCTATATTGAAGCTGTTAAACTTTGTGTATCCGAAAGTATACCTTCAAATTTGTTAAAGTATTATTTTAAATCTTCTAGTGTAACACTAAAACGGATCTCTGAAAGATAGATTGGGGTTGTATGGAGTGGTTTGAGCTAACTCAGGATAGGGTTCAGTGGAGGGCTCTTGTGAACACAGTAATGAAACTTCGGCTTCCAAAAAATGCTGGGTAGTTCTTGAGTAGCTGCACAACAGGCGGCTTCTCAAGAAACTCAGATCAGTGTAACGTCCATTGAGAATTGAGCGGAAAATCTCACCGTTTCATACATAAGCGTTAGCATTCTCGTGTTCTCCTTCTCTTTTCTTTCCAGTCCCCCATGGTGATGCTTTCAGGAAGCTGGTTAAATGATACAAACTCCGTCTCAAGTGCAAACAATATATATTATATGTCTTTGATCTTGTTCTTTGATCTTGTTCTGTTCTACATATAGTGTAGAAGAGAACAAGATCAAAGACACAGCTCAACATGTCACACTGCTCCCTCCTTAAGGCTGTTCGTCCCGAATAGCCTAACGGTGCATCCCCGTTCCTTTGCTTCGGAGGCTGTTCTTGCAGCATCTGGTCTCCGGCTGTTACAATATATATTGTTTGCACTTGAGACGGAGTTTGTATCATTTATCGTGTAGAGTGCAGCAGGATGCTTAAATACAATATTGTAAGCTGGTTAAAGCCTTCCACACAAATATAAATGAAGTGTCTTCTTTTCATAGTTTACTACACTTAATATAGCCACATTAAAATATTGCCAATATTCATATAACGGACACGATACGCTGAAATAGAAACTGCTCGCACGTTCATGTCATATGTACATAATATGATAACACTAGACATGTCGTTGCCTTGATAACCTGAAATTGCTTAATGATGGCCATATACGTAATGCTTTCAAAACTACTATATATGATTGTATATGTACACGCACATATAAATATATGGAGGGATAATTTTAAATGAAAGTGTTTTCCTGCCCAAATATTACTATCTATATTTCCCTACTGATATGTTGGGATTTTGGACTTTATCCATCGTCCTGGTTTTTAAGATAACAAATAAAAAAACACGACGTTTCGGAAACTGGATCTGTTTCCGTCCTCAGGTGAAGGAAAACACCTATTCAGTTGGGTCCCTTAGAAAGAGCTA